TGAGGCCACCAAAACTGAACCAAAGGGAGAAATAATCTGGGCCCAAAAGGCCCTTCGATGCATCAAGGGATTGGTTTTCTGGATGATGAGGCCATCTGTATGAATAAGGTAGCCAATGCTCTGGATTTTGTAGACCCATTGCAATGTAATGAGGCTCATTGTGACTCGGGAGGTCCCCGTTATGAATTAGGAGGTCCCTGTTCTGAGTTACGAGACACGCTCTATATTCAGGAGGCCCCGATTTTGGAAAAGGGGACTTCTTTCATCCATCGGATGGCCGCGGTTCTAAATCGGGATGTCCTGCTTTGGAAAAATGAGGTCAGGCTCCTTGGCTAGATTTGGAGACCCTCCGTCAATTGGAAGCACGCTTGTTTGGATGTGAAGGCTCTATATGCATCAGGAGGCTATTTTCTGGAGCAGGAGTCATTGTTTAAGGAGGTGATACCGTTTACTGGAGAATCAGAAGCCCTCATTCTGGATATTACTTGGATATAATATATTTAGCAAATTGATACGGGGCACATAACACATGCCCTCGGTGTCCCTTTCCCCGGAATATGACACTGTCTAGGGGTCCTCCTATGAAGAGGCTTCATTTTGCTCAGGAGACCCCCTGGAAGATCCTGCCCCCAACTCAAAACCCGCGGCGCCGCCCCCGCACAGGACCCGTCCATTGCTTCACTGTGGGCTCTTTCGTCGTAAGTTCCCACACCTCATTTCATTGTCAGACCTCCCCGCCCAACGCAAGAGGCCTTCTGACATTCCGGGTACCGTCATTGTCCCCGTTCAGCAAATGTATCCCACGCTAATTCAGGTCCTTTTGCAAACGGGCCCCCCTGCTTCTGACAATGCGGGCACTTTGGGCCCCTGACCAACGCATTGGGGCCTCATTGTTTCACGAGCCTTGACACATGTAAATCGCGGGCCCAGGCTTTGTCCCTGCTAAGGAAATGGTCCCACATGGCGTGGTCCGACACGGAGCTTACTTTTCGGTGTTGGTGGCCACTGGCCTGCACAGGACCCCCGTTAAGCATTGTGGTTGTCTGATCGACACATTGGGTTCCCTCATTGTCTCACGGACACCAACAAATGTAAATCGCGGGTCCTGGCCCTGTCGTTGCTTGGGAAATAGGCCCCCAGGGCCTAAACGGACACGGAGTCGGCTATTCGGTGGTCGTGGTCTCTGACCGACATAGAGACCTGCATTGGTTCAGAGGATCCCAAGCGGTGCAAGAGGCCTTCTAAGTGATATTTAAAGGCCCGGCCGTGCGGCACGGGGCATCTGAAAATGACCTCCGGTCAGCCCTTAGGCCCTTTGGACTCCCTATCGGGCTGCTGATCTTTGTTACGGACCGAAGGGGCGCAGGCATGCGCCCTCTGTGACCCCCTGCCTCCCTCCCTCCGTCGACTGGGTGGGTGCAGACCTTTATTGGCACTGAGGGAGATAAGATCGCAAATGCCTTGATTTGGGGGAATAAATTACCGGCCGGTAATGGCGAGCCATTCCTGGCCTGGCCGTTTCCGGCAGGTGTTTGTCAGGAGTTTTGTGGTCACGAGTAGAGACACGAAGCACTCCGTGATGAGCACTGCAGCATTGATCGTGCTCAATGCAATTTGTCCATGCATTGTGTATAAAACATCCAGTCCAGCACACCGGTGGTACAGGACGACCCCGGATTGTGACGACAAGTGGCCCTCTGGCAATAATAAACGTGACACTGAAGGTCGAGCTTGTCCTCATGTCAAATGAGCGTGAAGTTTAGAGCTCTTCAGAGCTTTGCCCCGCGCAGTAAGGTTGATGTTTTGACAATTTTTATGATTCGCAAACATGAATAATATGGCGGCTAGTAATTTAAGCGACAAATACAACATTATTCAAAAGATTTGCATTCATTTTCGCATTCATGGTAGATTTTCCTTTACGCCACCGGGTTTGCCCTTCTGGAACATTGCAGCGTTATCGAACAGTTGATACAGAGCAATTTGTCATCGGTAACCGCGGTTCACGGTGACACGAGAGGTCAACACAGGATAGAGTATAGGCCAGCGCAAAAAGGCCTTTAACAGAAGGATGAGTCCTGCTGGCCCATTTTGCCTGCTGCATGGGCGCACACTGAGGCACAAACCAAAGATCAACCGGTATGAAGCGCTGTTTTAGAATAACGTCAGACACCTGCAGCCGGAGCAGGGTGACTTAAAAGCGACTGCATAGTGTATACCAGTCCACTCCTTTGTAAATTGCTTGAAGGTACAGCAAAACTCGGCCACGTTTACTGCCAGCCTCACCTTTCTCAAGCAACGCCTTCTGTGAATTGGCGGAATTAACGCGTACACACTATCTCCGGCCTTCGAGTTTCTTCTGAAGACTCGGTGTAATCGATAAACGTTCAGTCTAAGAATCTGACTTGCCCTGAGCAGATGGAAGTGTCATGGTGGTAAGTTCGGATGGGCGATTCCCCAAGACCAGTTATCCTCTATGATACGCTGCGAAATGAGTGGAACCCGCTTGCGTGCGTTCGAAAGGCGACTAGATTCGTTCGCCTGGGTTTCAGTGATCGGTTACTAGCGTACTGATAATGCTCCAACATGCTGTTACTTCGCTCGTCCTATGCCACGCAGGACACATTGCCGGTATGTCCTGTGAGCGTGATGCTGCAGGTTAGCACCATTGATAGATGGCCCTTGTGTCATAGGGGGCCAAATCGGCACCCATGCTTTTTTGCTATTGCACTAAAACTTAACATACAACGGCTTGAAGTTCTCAAAAGATATACTGCGTTCGTCCCCCGTCGTACATTGCAAGGAGCATAATTTGCATTTTCCAAAGACTCCACCCACTGCAGAAAAAAACGTTGAAATGAACAAGTCAACTTAAGTATGGCGTCAACTCGCGTTACGCCTTATATCAACTCACCCGATGGCTGACGTCAGCTTGTGTGGTACATAATGTCAACTCGTGTTACCTTTCATGACACGATCTTAAAACTCAAAATTTCATGTCAGAGGTGTGTAAAATATCACGTCATAGGGTGACGCGACCCCCTAAACATTTGTAAAAATTTAGGTATAGGCTTACGGTGATGCATGGAAAGAATAAACTCAGAGTGCCTCCGAGTCTCCTCTTCTTACCGCTTTCTTGGACAACGTCCTCCGCTCCCATGTGTTCAGCCATGTTAGACACCACCTATGTGGTCTACAGTTCATAATGCACCGGTGGACATACAGTTAATGCCAAGGGTGTCACCGGGGCGCATATCTGCCGTCAGTATGGGGCCTGCCTGACGCTGTTCTCAGTGGTTCTTCGATTGCAGGAAGTAAATTGTTTCATCATGCGTCTTGAGAGACTGACAAGTTTAGCAGTGTCTATTTGTCCAAGCAGAATCTATTTATCTCTCTCCCCCACCTCTCTCTCTCTCTCTCTCTCTCTCTCTCTCTCTCTCTCTCTCCTCTCTCTCTCTCTCTCTCTCTCTCTCTCTCTCTCTCTCTCTCTCTCTCTCTCTCTCTCTCTCTCTCTCTCTCTCTCTCTCTCTCTCTCTCTCTCTCTCTCTCTCTCTCTCTCTCTCTCTCTCTCTCTCTCTCTCTATCTATAGATGTATATTATATATATATATATATATATATATATATATATATATATATATATATATATATGCACATTCTTGCGGACCTGGAGTGCCTGTTTTGCGGCTTTCGACTCGCCTGTCAATGTGATAGCTTTTTTGTACATGGAAGGATGACACTGAAAGCAGATTTCTCCCTCGCTTTTGCAATCACGTTGGAAGCACCATCCTAGTGGGACAATTTCAGTACATCGACAGCTTGTTTGCTTTTGTCCTTTAACGATAGATCGCGCAATAAGGTTTACGGGACAACAGCGCTGAGCAAATATCTTAATTGATTGTCTCCCAGAACAAGCAGAAGAGTGGAATGCATCGGGTTTTACTCGCAACAAATCAAAAGCAAATTGATGATACCACCTACGATACTTGTCCTACCAAAGACGTGTATTTACTTCAGAAGGGCCCGCATCCACGGACACAATGGACACCAACGGAGGACTGAATGGGATATCGCCAGATTGGTTATCACTTCAAGACGTCTTTGGATTCCTAGGAGACCTTTGCCTTTAACGGGATGCGGAGGGTGCCAGTGTCTCCCAGGACGGATGGTAAATGCCTGCCGGCGCTGAGGAAGACGTAAACGGCCATGTCGGTGCGTCACGGCGCCGGCTTAAACAGCAGTTTTAGAACGAAGCTCGGATATTGGTTTAGTAGAAGTGTCACACCTTTAGGGCATGTCGAAATATATTCTGGTGAAACCGCAGGATTCGTTAATTTAATAACGGAACTTGATAGTGCCATTGAGGCACCGTCCAAACATAATAAGGATACAATTTTAATTATTTTCAAGTCCAACATACGCTGTCAACACTGCAACGAAACTACGCTTTTCCCCTGCAGTCGCGACCAGCGGGCAAGGGCCTGTTATCGAGAAGTTGTTTGTTTGAAGTATGAACCAGTGCATCACACGGATCATGCGATACTCCTACTTCCAAAGGCAAAGTGCGCCTCGAACAGAGCTTCTGTGGTAAATGTCGTAGGAAAGAAATTAAAGCCACAGTTTAACGTTTCGTTGAATTCACGCGATGATAGCTTCGTGTTTGCATATCTTTTTGCCTGAGCAGAATGTTTCAAGCCTTCGTAGTATTTCCTACACAAACGTTTTGACACATTGGGGTGTTGCAAACATTACGGAACAAAACAAGGCAAATGAAATGCATTTTTTTCATAGTGGTGAGCAGGGAGTCAGGTGATGGTTGTCCTGCGGGGTCGGCTACTTCAGATTGCAATTCAGGAATATGCGGGCGGATTTCAAGAAAACTGGTATTGCTGATTAACTCGTATGCGTCTGATGCAACAATAAGTGACAAGTACAAGGAAGGGGAGATTCTCCCTTCAAAATCTTCTGCGTGTTTCACTACATGTGCCTATATGTTCCAGAGGAAAGCGAATCAGCAAAGTGAAGACGTTGCATAAGGCGATTGAGTACATCGACCATCTGCGGCAGCTGTTAGCAGCCGATGACGTCAGTCGAGGTCACGTGAACGGTGCGACGCTGGACTCCAGCGGCGACAAGGAGAACTCCTGGTGCGCACCGCCTCAGGTGCGGTACATGTACGCTGCGTGCTGTTTCGCAAGGCTGGTGCTTTTAACCCTTGCACTGCCGAGGACTTGCGCTGATTTTAAATTGACGGGGCATCGCCCCTGCGACCCGTAGACTAAATTCAGCTAGATGTAAAATTCAGCAGCATCAGACGGGCATCGCGATGCTGATCAAGTCCATCGTGTACAACGCGTATAAAACGTGTTGGTTATCGGAGATGCTGCATTTTCACGTTTTAGTCGAACATGTATATGATATGCACATGGACATGATATCCACCACAGGGATGCAGTCAGAGGTGAGGACCCTGCTCCCCCGCCCGCCCTTCTTGGCCCATTCTCTTGCAGCGTCATAGACCGCCCCTTCGGCTCTCTTACAAATGCTTGCTGAGCTCCAGCCCCGCGCTCAGAAAACCCCGGCTGCGGCCCTGATCGGCGCTGTTAGCGCGAGGCACCACAAGCGGGCACGCTATCACCACCCGTCACGTCGGTGGCCATGCTTGTGTTGCCATTTCAGGTGTACGCCGATGACTACTACCCGCCGCAGCCGCACGCGTACAGCATGCAGTACACCATCATGACGGACTACACGCCCGGCCAGTGAGAGCTGGCAGTCCAGGTCCGCAAGATACGCTTCGTCTTCAGTTGGTATCCGTCCACTAAATGACCGTCCGCATCTTGCCGTGTTAGTGTTGTGCTCGGAGAAAACCGCAAACGTTGCGGCGATATGTTTGGGCGTGGGTGGAAGAGCTTTACTTGCTAGTCATTTACACATGGCTCGTCTGTTGGAGTGTGTGCAAAATGCCCCATAGATCAGGCTTACGAATTCGAGCCATCGAGCGTGCGAGCCGTCTTGCTTGTGCACGCGTCACAGTGCGGTGTGTTTGCTCGTCTCTCCGGCCGTCGACGGAGGCGTGGCGGCGACGGTCCGGCTTCCCGGGCTTCCGGCGCTGCCCTCCAGTCTCAATACATGCGTGCTGGCGTGACGTGATTTCCGCTGGCACGATTACCCCCCCCCCCCCCCCCCCGATTGCGCCGAGCGGAGCCGTGAACGGCCCCGTGGCCTGAAGGGCACAGAGGAGACTGGACACAACCCCGCGGCACAAGGGGGCCGCTGGCAAGTAACGGCGTGCACCGCGCAACGGCAGGGCTTGTGGTTCACTGGATGACCGCACGTGGTCCTGGCAGCCTTTTGTCTTGGCCTTGTGCGCATCGGTGGAGAACGCGCACGGCAGGCGCGGTAGCCGCTACGCTGGCACTTGCTGAAATGACATACATTTTTGCAATTTTGCCTGAAAAGATGATTTCCGAGCACCTTTTACACGCCAACTTCTTTCAGCATTCTACGACGGTGCCAACAATAGCCTGTAATGTTGCTGCTGATTGGTTGGTTCTGCCCACTTTTGACGTCAGTGGGAAACCGTCCCGGTCACGCGGCGAGTCACGTGACTTAGACGATCAGTCAGCAGTTCACATCAACATTGCGATAACTAATATGACGAAATATATTAAGTAGAGTGGCTAGGTAAAAGCCTTCAAGGATTAACAAAGAAACGGGTCAAATACAAGTAAATCGATCTGGTCAGTGGCATCAGAGCGTTAACAAAATAATACAAACACAAACAACGGCCCAAAACACCGCGATCTCCTCCGCAACGTAAGTGGGAAGGAGCACACGCCCTTGGTTCCCATCCCGTCCACTGCCATCTTCCATCGCTCATTGCTGATAAAATCGGCCCTCGGTCGCCAGCGGGCAGACATTCAGAGATCCCTAAGCATCGAACGCGCGCAGGCAGCAGCCAACGCGTCACAACCGGGCGGCCAGCTCGCACCGGTGATGCCGGTAGCTCCAGCAGATGTTCACCTGCCGTCAGTTGCGGCGCATCACAGTCCCTGAATTGCACGTTCACGGCGCCGGCAGCGAGGGAGCGGAGTCTGCCACGGACGGGCGCCGACCACGGCTAGCGCAGCCAGCGGAGACGTGCGGGTCGGCTGGCGACGCGCCTCGGCTCCGGCCGCTGTCGACAGACACGGAGCGCACCGCCCCACCGGTGCACGTGCTCCCCAGGCGGGCAGCGCGAGCCCGCACAAGCAGCCACGCTCTAACCGGCACGAGCCGATCACAAACCGTCCTCACGGAACTACGCTCGCTACTCACACCGCACGCTGCGCAGTGGATAACATGGCACCTTCACAGCAGACCGGCGGCGGACTTACGTCGCGTGGGACACACGGCACATCAGTCCAACGCGGAAGCGGTCCTCTGGCCGGGGTGTAATGCCGGGTAGGTGTACCACCACCGGGTCTGATACTGAACGAGGCCCGCCGCCGCGCTGCACGAGCCTAGCATCTTACGTCGGACCGCTCACCACCGCGGCCTACCAACGCCTCGCCTAACGACGCGGCGGCTCAAGTAATGCTAGTGCCGTGCTGAAGAGCTGAAGAGAGTGCTAAGGTGCAGCTGCCGCAGTCGCGAGCCAACCGACGCCCTCAGCGGCAGACACTCGGCCCTCCCACGACCCCCGAAAGCATCCAGGATCGGTTAACGGTCGGGGGACGTCGGGAGCAGACGCGGAGAGGGGTTCCGACGCTACGCGAGCCAGACACACGCGCCCGCACAGCGTCGAGCGCTGCGAGTCCACGGTAGATGGGGGCGGTGCGGACAGCGGCGCGCCGCGGGGCGGAAGCCACCCGCAGCGGAGGGGGAGGGGAAGCGGGAGCGGCACGCGACACGTAACGACAAATGACTAGTGAAGGCGCGGGCCGAGCACGCCACCAAGCGACACAGCGCAGCGCTGACGACGACGCCCCGGGCCGGCCCTGCGAGCGCGCGCAGCGGCCGGCGCCGCTCCGGCAGATCCCGGTGTCGTCCGGACCGCGGTCTGGAGACGCGCGGACCGGCGCGGACCAAGACAGTCCGGGACAGTCCCGCCACGTGCCTCGCAGGGGAGGGGGGGGGGGGGCAGCCACCGGGCTGGCATCTGCCCTAGCCGTCTGTGGCTTGCACGGTCCTTCCGGTCTCGCCCAGTATTGAACCAAGCGCCGGGTTCGGTTCGGTTAGCGGACGGTGCTGACCCATACAGACCGCCATTCAAGCAACGACAGCCAGGACCTGTCAGGTCTCATAAAAATAGATCCAGTCCGTCTTCAACGTGGCGGGACAAGGTCACGTCGTTTCGTCGTGTCAAACAAAATAAGTACTCCAGTCACAGGTCGGACAGTGAAAAGCAAGCATGGGAGGCCACGGCGCGTCGTCTCTGTGGATGTCAGTTTCGTCCCGGGCCGCTGCCTGGTGGTCCCGCTGCACCAGAGCATAGATACCTCGCAGGCCGTCCAGCCGGTGCCAAAACATTACGTCACCTGGCTGACACTTCAACTAAGCACTGATCGCTGCTCCGGTCTGATGAACTACCTCACACGGATAAAGCCTATAGGCCTCGAAGTAGCGTTAGCGAATCAAGGCTCTCCAGCTGCAACGCTAGCACTTCGCCCAGCTGACCCAGCATCCGTCCCTGATCTAGGCCACTCCCTGCACTGCCTAAAACAAGATAACAACGCTGCTCCTACTCGGCGCGGAAACTCCACGCCAACACCTGACACACACGTAATTCGTTGTAAAACTGCCATAGTTCTAGCTGCCTGCCGGTCTCCTGCAGCTGGCCGCGTCGTCGGAGGCCGCGCGGAGAACCAGCGGCGACTGCAGCGCTCCCGGCGGGCGCGGCGCGAAGCTGCGGCGACAGCGGCGCCCCTGGCGGCAGGGCCGGCACTAGCGACAGCCGAGCGCCGGTCGTCGACCGACGATGTGGCCGCGCAGGTAGATGTCGTCGTACAGGTGGCCGCTGAGCACGTCGTCCACCGCCGCCGCATGACGCACGTTCCTGATGAACTCGCGCTTCGACATCTTGTTCTTGACGTGCGGCGACGTCAGGTCCACGGACAGCATGATGAGCGAGAAGCAGAGGATGTAGACCGTGTCTGGCGGCGGACGCGGCGTCAGGAGGCCGCCGACGGACACCGACCGACCGAATCACACGACCAGCCGAGACCGTGGCGCGCGGCTCAAAGACAACTCCGGACACGCGACGTAAGGAGCCCGTCACGTGCCACACGATAGACACAGGACAGCGTACCCACAGCGGAGTGAGAACAAGTACAAATCTAAACAAATTATGCATAGAAAAACAAGCTAATTGCATTCGCGTGACGATCAAATGCTATCAGGGCGCCGGGCTACCAGCCCTATAGATCACACCACTGCTGCTGAGGGCTGCAGGCATGCTCCGATTTCAGACGTCAGCTCGAGGACGGACCGTAAGACGGCCGGGCCTCTCACCAAATGCCCCGCTGGCACCGCCGACTCACCCGTGGACAGTCCCAGCCGGGGATTGCCCTGGCAGAACTTGATGGAGAACTTGTCCAGCAGGGTCTGCAGGTAGTTGCCCCGGTCCTCCGGCGGCTGCACCTTGCTGAACAGCTTGCGCAGCGCGGCCGGCAGGAACTGGTCGCTGTAGTTCTGCAGGTCCATGATGAGCGTCATCACGTCCCGCCTGCCGGAGGGCGTGCGACGTCAGCGGCGGAGTTCACGCCGGGCCGAGCCGGGGCCGGCGTCGCTGGACCTCACTCGCGGGACATGGTCACACAGCTGGGACTGGCGCTCAGCCACCGGCACCCGAGGTTGTCAGGGCTCAATACAGACCAAATGCGATGCTTCTTGTCTCGTCACTGGGCTAAAATTGTCGACGCCTTGCACCTTCCCCGCCCGCCCTTTAATGCGTAGCCCCGCCCTGTTCCGGCTCGCACTACACTGTTTTACTCCTCGCCCAGTAGTTCTCAATCCTCCTCGCCCCTCCCGCACTCGCCACTCCTTCACGCCATGCATCGACCACTACTACCGTTCGTCCCGGCGCCAGAGATCTCACCGCTGGTCCAAGTAACGCCGTAGCTGGCTGGAGTCCATCTTGCTGCTGGTGTGCAGGAACATAGCGATCTCTGCCGGGTCGTCGTCCACCAGGCCGCGGCTGATGAAGTAGTGCATACCCTGGCCGACAGAGGGCCGGGGTCACCCATGGCTAGCCTCCGAGGCCGGCTGTCCGCTCCCGGGCACCGCACACATCCGACATCTGAAGAACACCTTGAGGTGGGGTGCCTCATTAAAAGCTCGAGGCATCGCATATGACACATTAGTGGACTGCGCGATAGCCTTTATCTTCACTCACTCACTCGTTTGAGGATGAATGATAGAGACTAAAGCAGACATTTTCAACCGGTCAGCCGGTTGAACCGGCTGCCACGGCGTAAATCCGAGCCCAGTCCACTGTCCCCTGAGGATCCACCAGAGGTTGGCTACCGATGAGCGCTCACTGAGAAGGCGTCGGCGTTGAAGGTGAGCGTGCCTTCGTCCAGCTGGAGGAACGTGTGGCGGTAAGAGGTGCCGCCGCCGGCGCCGCGCAGTCGCCGGTATACACTGGCGTAGCCCCACTGGTCCTTGCACAGCCTGACCGCACGGCGCGCCGTCAGGTCCAGGGTCAGAGGGCACGGGACAGGGACAGCGGGATGGTCAAGGGACACACAGCCGGTCAGGTCAGGCGTCAGCCGGCAGAGGACAGGGACAGCGGGGCGCTCAGGACACAGTCGGTCAGATCAGGTGTCAGACGGCACGGGACAGGGACAGCGGGGCGCTCAGAACACACAGCCGGTCAGATCAGGTGTCAGAGGGCACGGGACAGGGACAGCGGGGCGCTCTCAGGACACATAGCCCGTCAGATCAGGTGTCAGAGGGCACGGGACAGGGACAGCGGGGAGCTCTCAGGACACACAGCCGGTCAGATCAGGTGCCAGAGGGCACGGGACAGGGACAGCGGGGAGCTCAGAACACACAGCCGGTCAGATCAGGTGCCAGAGGGCACGGGACAGGGACAGCGGGGCGCTCCGGACACACAACCAGTCCAGATCAGGTGTCAGAGGGCACGGAACAGGTACTGAGCGTCCGAACCGATCGGCCGGCCGGCTGGACGAGCGATGGCCAGACGCGCCGCGCCGTGTCAGAAGTGGGGTCACCAGACGCGATCATCCGACCGCCCGACACGCACGACTCACCCCTGCCAGAGGATCTCATCCTCGGCCAGGTTCTGCCAGACGCAGGCGGCCAGACACAGGTCCGTGGCGTTCAGGTGTTTGAGGACCTCCAGGCCGAGCTCGGCCGGCAGCTCGCTCAGGTCGGGGAACTTGTTCTTCTCGGCCTCCGCAGTCTCCTCAGTGACTTCATCTTCCGCTGTGTACGCAGCGCCAGAGGACGTCGAAGCGTACGTGTTAACGTTACCAGCCTTCAATAGGCCACCTCCACGTACCATCTGGACTTGGCAGAAGTTTGGATGGGCTAGACCCCAAACTTTCACAAGATGCCATCCTCCATTCATTTACAATACCCAAGGCGTAACGTAACGCCACGTTTTGGTGGATACCATCCATATTACGCTCTGGTTAAAACGTCATCCGAAATGGCATATCCACTATATTTCATGGCTTCGGCCCACGTTGATTTGCGCACTCTGACTTTAACGCAATGGCACAGACGTTTCTTAATGGGGGTAAACTGTGTTGGCTTCAGTGAAGAATAAAACAACCTGCTTGAACCGATCGCTCGACAAGCATTCCGGCAACCACGTCTCATCACGCCGTCACCTCGATCCCAAGAATCGGACGTGTGTTGGAAGTGATTGGCAGTCATTAAAAGACAAACACAGTGAAGCGCACGCACAGACACACCAGTCTCGACTCCGCCACACAAGCAGGTCAGTGCATCCTCAGATGTCCCACGAGATGTCTTTTCTACCACCCTAGGAAACGGTCGGGAGCAGTCGAAGATCGTCCGGGGGTTCGTTATACGTCTTGGGTGCGCCGATAGAAACACGTCGTTTTCGTCGTTTTTTTCAGTACGAGAACAAGATATAAACAGATCGCTGCCTCTCTCGTGGGTCAACCGAGCACTCCATCCAAAAAGTGTAGAGCACATGAGCAAGTGAGTCAGGCTCGCTGAACGGAGGGTGTTATCGTGAGTGAGGGGGTGTGATACCTGCCTGGGTTTGCAGCAAATAGCCAGCCAAGCCTCTGATGTAGGTATGATGCATGGCCAAACCTTTTGGGGCCCAAAATGAGTTTTGCAGCAAATTTTGACATTTCTGAGTGCTGAACATATTGAGCTATAAGCTGCCATGGGCGTGGAATAGTGCAAGTCCCTTTGATAAAGCAACTGCAAGTCAGACTGATATACAACTGAGCAGATTATATGAAGCTCACATGAGAAACTGACACATCTAATGGCATGACATGACTAACAGCTCAGTCCAACACAGCATTGTGTGCATCGACCCCTCTTGCCTCACTTTTGCTTTATCCCACATTTAATTTGATCCAAAACCCAGTCTAACCAGGCTAAGCAGGCAGGCAGGCAGTCTAAGCTACACACATCAGCCATGAGTGGGCTTGAGTGTTCATGGCAGGAACCCTGTCGGGGCACCAAGCACATATCCTGCATAAGGGTCCCTGTGCAGACTAAGGCTTGGTGGATGACCCCCAGGTCAGGTCAGGTCTGGTGCACATGGTTTGGTGTACCATTATCCACCACCCTTCCCCCATCCCAAAGCCCTGAAATGGTCATTACAAGTGGAAGGACAAAAATGCAAGCACAACAGACCAAAACTGTGGGACTAGTAGCACATGTAACAAATGGCAGAAGTTCATGTGCATTTCTGAGCACTTGGAGCTGGACTAGATTATTTTGTAGTAAGGTGACAGCCAGATACCCAGCTCCATGTGCACCACTTGCCCTGCAGCACCAGCTAGGCCCAGCACCACTCAAGGCTTGGTTATTGCAACTGCATGCAGCAGCTGTCTGACAAAGATTGATTAGGAGTAGCTTAGCAAAAATATCCAATAAAAAATTGATTCCTGCCAGTCATTCATGGAATTATTTAAGCAGACCTAAATATTGGTGGGCTGGACATAACACTGGTCATCATGGCATAACATAAATAATCTCAGCATAACTTACATGTAATGACCTTAACTGTTTGAGAAGTGGGGCAGTGAGAAGAAAACAAACAGAAAATATGGGTAGAAGTCTTCAAATGTCTCCTAATGTAGCATGCACACTGACACCCTTGCCAGACAAATTCATGTTATTCTCTGCATGTGAATATGATCTGTGTGTAAACTACATTGATCTGTGTAAAATATCATATGCAGCATACAGTAAACATTTACATTTTTCCAATACTGGACTGCAGTCTCTCATACCTTACCTGGTGAGGTAGTCATGCTATGTGCCTGATGTTCCATATTTTGGGCATGCATTCTCATCAGAACAGACACCTGCCCACCCATAGTGTAGGTCAGTGCTTGAATCAGCTGTGCTAATTCCCTGAAAGAAACACATTCATTGATAACTGCCTTGATCAATAAGTGAGCTGGCTTAGATGTCTAATGTCTAAAAAAAGTCTAACATTGTTCTTTGGTCAAAGATTAGCCAGTTGGCAAACCATAGGAGATCTCACCAAAACTTTGTGAGAGGAAGGGCCTAGGAAAAATCAAAGAAATTTGGGGCAGCTAGAAACTTCAGGGACATAATTTCTTGTCACAGGCATGTAGTGTTACCATTGACATAGATAAGAAGAGTTCACATGTTGGGTGCTAGTTATTTGACAGGTGCTACCCCAAATGTATTGGTCTCTGCCCCCTAATGAAGCGGAACAGCACCTCTTTGGACCAGAATGAGGCTGTCGCATACACCTCACACCCCTTAAAGGCCATGAGATGCTTGGGATGAGCAATTGCTCTGGTTGACAGATTGGTATGTTGGCCCTGTTAACACAACAGTGATAATCGTTTTAAACTAGGTAATAAGGCCAGCGGAATGGCCATGAGGCCTGGCATAGTCTTAAAAAGATAATCCAAGACAAGGAAGAGACCCAAAGTGAGTGCACGAATCATACAACATGAAGGCTGGCTTTTGGACCCTTAATTCCGAAGACCAAAAGCTGGGTCTTCGCGAGGTTACCGAACTGCAGCTGTCCAGCGCCTGCGTCAGGTCCGCTTCTTACCCGCGAATGACTGCACGTCACGAATGAATCTCACCACACCACCTAACGACAAACATCACACCAGCAACCAAGGCAACTGCACAACAAAACACGACGAGGGGCGCCTCAAGGTTGGCCAGAACAAGGATTCTGAAATGTGTGTTGCCGACATTCATGTGACAAATCTACCATCTTCTACCGGATGGCGTTGAGTGCTGACGATTTTGTACATGCTCGTACATATTTGCACTGTTTGGATCATGCTCATACCCATGAAGCACTTTCATGAAATATTAGATGAATATCAGTGCAAAAGAAGAAAATACAGTTACACGTGTGGGCAGCTTAGGTCTCGATTGTGCATTCCTTAAACTACTTTAGCCTCGAATTTAACCAATCAGATCCGTTGCTTGGCAGCGATGGGTGGGGCTGTTTATATCCTAAAGCGACGCGATTCAGACAATTATCGCCAACCACCGCCACGAATCCTCACTAAAAGAGCATCGGCTTGGAGTCTGTGAGCTGTGTTGGAGGGAGGCGGTGACGGTCTCGGGATTGTCGAGGGTGTGTGGGCGGCGATAAAGTGGAATCTGCGGATAGCGTGCGTGCGTATGAGAGCCGCCATGAAAACAGCTTGTGATTTGTGATATGCGAATAGTGTTGTATCATGTCAAGGCTGGCAGACTACTTTGTCGTCGTCGGCTACAATCATGAGAAAGACAGTAAGTTTTCGGTGTACTTAACCTACGTCTCACGTCTGAAATTCTTGTAACATCCAAATGCATGTGGAAGATGTGAAGCAGAGTAATATTTCATTTATTTGACGCATGAATATGTTGAGACTGAGCAGGGATGGGCACGTTTCTACAAACTTGTATGCCAATTATCTAATTACATGGTTGTTGCCCCACTACAGAGGCTTTGGAATTGTTGGTAATGTATGCATGTACATACAGCAGATATCACAGAGGCTGTCACTTTGCAGAACTTTTGTAGCATATTTCTGATTGTTGATGGCAAAGATCTTTCATTAAATAGGTGGTGTGCATGTCTGCCGTGATATCTCTGGCCTGTGCACAGATGACTGGTCCAATGGAACAGACTGAGTTTTTATCCTTTGGGTGGGTCACATGACCTAAGGGTCTGCTTGAAGGCAAACTATAACTATTACACAAATGCTTCAGGTACTGTTTGGCAGAATGCCTAACCAGAACCATTACAATCATGTACTAGCTGCTCATATCTTCTTGGTGGGAGCTGGTCAAGTAAATTAGTTGTAAGCGAGGCTAAAATACAAGGCATTCCTACTAAAATTGGTCACAAGCTAGTTAGCTGCTCTACTAACATGGTCCTTGCATAGGTCATCTGCCAGTCTGCAAAAATCCATCCATTGCATGGTACACTTTGGTTGAATGATAGTACTCTTAGTAAGTGCACTTAGATGAGTTCATAATATTTGTTTTGATGAAACCATTTTGCCAAAATATTACTCCATATATATTTGTATTCTCCTGGTTACTCTTCAAGAAATAAGTCTTCATACTGGCTTACCTATATGCATAATGCTCCTTGCAAATGCACTCAGCAAGCTATGTAAGACCCTCCCATTATGAATCAGCCACTTGTGCATACATGCCTGCAATCTGACTCCTTCCAAAGCAAAAACTTTGCTGGAGGGAAGCAAGCAGAAAGCATTCCTCTTAGTGGGTATCTGCTGTATATACCACAACCGGGAAAGAGGTAACTTTGTAGCTTTGCTGTCAAATGCATAACATCACTAAATAATTTTTTGCATACATTTGCAAACTAGAATGTAGACAGCCACCAAGATTTGGCAGTTTACACTTGCTAGCCAATGCTAAGCTGGGTGCTTTTCTGCAATGTATTTACAGGTGACTGCAAACACAGCACCTTGGGAAAAATCACAGCTGGCTATCAGATCGGAGCATTTGCTAAACCAGGCTGGTGAAGTGTAACCAGAGCTCATCATGTGTCATGAGCTTTACTATACCCAATTTTCTATATTTTTCAAAGGTATTGTTAGTGCCTTTTACACATCCTGGATTTCTTGTTTTCCCTTTTTTGTGCCATGTTGCATGGGCCTGCAACAAATTTAAACACTTGAAATATGTCATGACCAGGTAGACATAACTTGACCACCAGTCATCTATGTTTTTGAATTGATCCAATGAAAATATGTGAGCAGTTTGCTACCCCAGAAAAGCACTCCAGGCTTTAACCATTCAGTCTCAAAGTGTTACATGGAGCTCTTGAGAGAGCTAAGACTTGGTGACCATCTACAAATGTCCCTGGGTGTTGCCCATAAGGTCTGCAATAGTTTCTCCAGTCCATCACTTCATTTTAAGAGGACTGAAGCTGACCCATGCCCTTTGTGTGGCTTACATCCTCTGCAATGCAGCCACACAGTTTGTGCAGCAGGAAAGTCTGCAGCACAGTAGTGAGAAAATATCCTGCAACACATATGTTGCCTACTTTCATGCCTGTTTGCTGATATTTTTATCTTTGCTTTCGGGTGGTCCCCAAATGTACTGCCTTATTTTGTTCCATGTGGCCTTAGAGGCAGGCAGACAAGTGTCCTGTGCACCAAAGGTAGCACCTCCTTGTGCACACTGTCAGAGAAGTGCTAGATGACGCCTAACGCCAGGTACAGCTGCGGGACGCCTCGACGAAGGTCCGGCTCTTGCCTGCACCGATACCGCAGCACGCGTTTTTACGCTGCAGCGGCCTGTTTGATGGACGTGTTCGAAATCTGTGGTCACAGGAAATGTGGTCACGTGGGTCGTGAACTGCTTGTTCGATTGGCGGGGGGATCTGAGTCCCTGCCGAGCAAAGCTCTTCGCGGCGGGCACTGACATCGTCACCCAGGTGGTTTGAACATTGGGGATAAGTTGCCTCAGCTTGCCAGTTGTGAGTGCTGAATGTTTTTGACGTCGCACGTAATAACATGAAATGACCGCCTGGTGCTGACGTTTGTTTTCCGTTGTGGGGAATGCAGTGCCTGAGATCGGATTCGTACTCAATTGGTAGTTTCGTCCTGAACCAGCAGCATTTGTGGGCTCAGGGCTGTATATTTCGATGCGTGGATTGCCTTTTGACGCAGTATTTCTTGGACCAAACTTCCTGTGCGACGAAACCAGCCTACACTATACTTTGCAGTTGCTTCGACAACGGTGTGGTGCAGCTAGGTGTCATCAGTAAGGAGCGTGACATCTGGGGCAAGTTTTGTTTCCAGGATAGAAAGTGAAGGTTGAGGGATCGGCACAGATTTGAGCAAGAGGCATGAGTTAACCGCACGCGTGCTGACATTGTCCCCATCAGCAGAGTGAGGGATCTGTTGAGCTACATAGCTAACATTGGTTACAGAGGTAGGCTAGAGTCAACTGCATTGGTGGTATATTGATGTGTGCTCCTGTGGCGTCTTCCGACGAATCGGTCGTTTTCCTCTATTGGTAACAGACTGCGCCTAGCCCATGCTGCACTGGTGTAGGGAATTCTTCCACCCCCAAAAGGAAATTGGGTGTAGCATATCGGACAAATTCATTGGTGTATTTGCTGCGACCGAGTCTGAAGACGGTCGCATGTGTCAGCAATTTTATGGTATGTAATCGGACGCTTTTTGTTGTGGCTTGAAGCAGTTTTTACGGTGATGCCGCGCTCACGATTAATTGTACGATATTCAAGTCCAACGCCTCGTGTTTGGAAACGGGTCTCAGAACGGCGGGGCCGCAAGACGCTGCTCTTCTTCGGGAAGACGGCTGTGTGGCGCCTGCTGTGGCCGTCACCGCGGGATGTGTGGGGTTGGCTTTGGTGGGCCGTGTCTGAACTCACCCGCGCAATCCTCCCGTCAATCGATTCGTGGGCCCGGCGCGTGAAGACTGTTTTTACAGTCTCGAACCAACTCACCAGCTGCGTGTATTTTTGCGTTGTTTAACTCGCGAATCGATCAGACTCGATCATTGCGCTAGTACAGGGTAATTTGGAACGTTTGTATCTGGAACAAATACACACTGCCTCTGACACGCACTGTGTGGCCGCATACGCGGCTTCGAACTGGTTATCGCGTGACAGGTGGCGGATCTTTGGCAAGGTGTCTGTTTTAAGCTCCTGAATAACTGGAATATGTCGTCGGCATCATCCAAGCGGCGCAGTGCGTGGGTGCATAGATCACGTCAGCGGGTGCCGTTCGGGAACGGCCGGATTCCGTCATCATGGACCGGTTCCTACATCCGTCTGGCATGCTCAGGTTTCGCAAGAAGCTGTGCGGTCGCAACGCGGTAATGACAACAGACACAGGCGCATGCCGTGGCGGACTTTTTCGGTGATATTCTGGATTGTGATTTTAGAGGAAAGGCTACTTTGGCCTTGCACCACATGCAAGAGAAAAACGTGTAGACGTGGTCGGGACGTGGTCGACCTTCTCAATTTTAAATTATTGCAGTGACTTAAGCGGATTATTCGCTGCTTAAACCGGCTTCCAGCCAATTCCTGCGCGGGGCTGACGGAGGCAGGGACTGGGGCGGTGCAAGATGAGCCTCCGTCCACGTTGTCTGCTGTAGTAGGTGGACAGTTTGAGACAGACCTCAAACTTAATTTTCCCGACCATCATTTGTGTACATAACCTCAAAATGGCAGCACCCTCTGCAGTCAATTGCCGCTCGAGAGGGAAGACATGGAGCCATCTTAACGATTTTTTTACCTGACCTACTGTTAGGCAGGCTAAGAACGATCACGCTTATCACGACAGGAAGAAAAACTTATTCCAAGTGACGTGCTCAGCTGATGGCTGTGGACACACAAGACTCATAACAAGATGACCCGAACCGATCCTGGAGAACGAGCAGTAACACTGTCGTAGCTGCATGACATGAAATTGATAATTTGCAAGATAAATGTCGCGTATTTGCAGCCTTTTTTGTATAATACACTTCAGCAGTTTAGGGAACGCTCGATCTCGGGGCCTCATATTTTCCGCTGGCCCTCATTTTAGCCTAGTCGCAATGACGCCGATGAAGTCGGCACGTAAATGCGCTGATGGCTTAGTCAGCAGTATCGTTTTGGAACTATTGCTTATAAATGGCCTAACATTCTGCGTAAAATTTGTGCGAATCCTCATTATAGTCGATAAAATTGCCAAAAAACGACCACATCTCAAAAAATTGCAAAAATTGCCTGCGATTGATACTTTATTCAATTGTCTCAGACAGATGGATATGCCTCTGGCCAACATGTGTTATGACCGGTCTATGTATCCACGTTCCGCATGGAGTGGAGACGGGTTTTCTGGAGCGCAACCAAAGCTGAACAAGGGGTAGCCAGCATGACGTTACGCTCAGTTGTGCCTGAAGATCTTGTACTCAGAGCCAATCGCGAAGCTGTTTTCCAAATATGTTATAAACCGTAACACCGATTGCTGTGTGGCTTCCCCTCTCTCTCTCTCTCTCCTCTCTCTCTCCGGTCTCATCTCTCTCTCCTCTCACTCTCTCCTCCTCTCTCTCTCGCATCCCTCCTTCTCTCCTCTCTCCTCTTCTTCTCTCTCTCTCTCCCTCCTCCTTCTCGCTCTATATATATATATATATATATGTATATATATATAATTTGCTTATATTAATAAATAATGATAATAATAATAATAATAATAATGATAATAATAATAACAATAATAATAGTAAAACCATCCCGACCGTCGTTGATTGGCGCGCCCAGCTTAGTTATTGACCAGAGGCACGTGATCTTTTCGGGACGTTACGTCTAACACAGCGTTATCAAGGGCGAGAGGATCGCCATCCTGGCCGCCAATGCCTTTGCGCTCATCTAGGAATATGCCACGTGCCAAAAACCTCAGGAGCGTAGGATGGCTTAAAGATAGTTGCCCCCACATAATCCCCTAGACGTTACGCTTGTTCTGGGGCGCGGAAACCGGGGCACGGGTCAGAGGCTGAGCCCCTTGACTCTCAGAATTGCTAACATTGACCCCAAGGCGTGGACCTCGAAGAAAGTAAAGTGGCTATGGCCAAGGTAAGTGGTGATCGGTCCGCCAAGTTGGGAGACCTTCGGGGGCCCATGATTATTCTTCAGAGACGGCGGTGGGCACTTGTCCCCATCGTTCCGTTATGGTGGACCCCATGGGGATAATAGATGGCGATGTTCGGGAAAAGCTTACTGAATAATCGCTGAAATATTGCGCAGCACGGTGCAGATAAACGCATAGGCCGTGGTTTATGTCCGTGGATTCCGCCAAAGAAACTGTGGCCCTGATGTAAGCCATTCAGCGCCGACGTTCCAGTCGTGGAGCATCTTCGCGGCCAAAAGGAGGAATACGTTTCGGAGACGCATTTCATGGACGTAACAGGCATGAAATGAGTTACTGAGGCGTACAGGGCAGGCTTAGCTTCCTGGCTTTGTTTGGCCATCTCCTTCTCCTGTCCTGCTTTTCCCCGTCATGCATTGTAGCACCCCATAGTGAGTGTGCCTGTTTAGCCGACTTATCCTCGGTGCGATCTTGGATTCCGCATATGACTATGCCAGCCCGATCCTGTAATTAAGTCCTCGCCGCCTTTTCCAAATGGCCGTAAATGTCGCGCGGACTAGAACCCCCCGTCGAGCTTTGATAACCAAATATTGTGAAGTGTCAGGACAGGTCTCCAGAAGTGTTAGATTTACACGTTCCCGGGGAGCGGGGAGGGGGGGGGGGGCTTCCATACCTCATGTACCTCAATTCCGCAGAAGTAGCGTTTCTAATGGCTTGTGCTGCCCTCGTTGCGCTTCCCCATCTGGTCTTTGAAGGGTTCCAAGCAAAGCCCGGCTAATCCGGAACATGCATCACCAAACACATGCGTAGTTCCTCGTGACATTTGGAATGCAACCAAGCCATTTGCATTCGTTCACATGAATGAAAACAGCCAGATTTCCGTTTTCTCAGCACCCACACCCAGGTCATTGTGCTGCTCGTGACTTGCATCTTACTGTCATGTGCGGGCGCAGCACAAGATCCTGCTACAGAATAACTGACCCGTCGGTCGTATGCATGGGACCTCCATCTGTGGTCTACTGAGTCCTGCATCATAATGCGATACACGGACCGTTCTGATCAGCGTGCCAGCGAAAATGCACAGGACTGTGCATGACTAAAGTGTCCCATTTTTTCAACAAAGGTAACGGATGCGCCACAAAAGGCGATTGGTCGGCTCGGGGACGCGCCACCACCACCGGCGCCCGTGTGAGCCGGTCGACCTCGAACGCCGGGCGTCGGCGCTGTTCGCGGCTCCACAGAAGAGCCCCGCTCACCCGGCCGGTCACAGTCCAGTGGAGGGACACTTCAGCTGCGTACGACCCAGGGTCAGGGTCCGGCCCGTCCCCTCGCGGGGACGGGGCGGCGCGCCCAGCGCGCGTCAGCATCGCAGGCTGTTGAACTGTCCGGTGGGGCGGAGGCGGGGCGCCCGGCCGGCTTTCGGCGGACACGGGAACCGCTGGTGGAGCCGATCGGCAGGGAGCCTCGGCCGCCGCCCGAGGCCGAACATGAATCAGCCCGCCGCGGGGCACGTCACGGCCGTGACGTCGCCAATCGACAACGTCATCCGGAGGCGGGTACGGCCACGGTGTGACGTCAGAGAGCTGGCCCGGAGAGGCGCCACGACCTGACGCGCCCGGCTCGTGCCGCCGCCCGCGCCGTCGGCGCCGCGAGCGCACGCGCAAACAGCGGTCGTCTTGCTGGGTGTTTATCGGGCGGCGCGGCGCTGTGTGCCGGGCTCGGCGCCGTCTGCTGAGCTCGCACCTTCCGCCGAGATCGCGCCGTCTGCCTAGATCGCGCCGTCTCCCGTGCTCGCACCTTTTGCCGAGATCACGCCGTCTGCCGAGATCGCGCCGTCTGCTGAGATCACGCCGTCTGCCGGGCTCGCGCCGTCTGCTGGGCTCGCGCCGTCTGCCCGAGATCGCGCCGTCTGCCGAGATCGCGCCGTCTCCCGTGCTCGCGCCGTCTGCCGAGATCGCGCCGCCTGCCGCAATCGCGCCCGTCTCCCGTGCTCGCACCTTCTGCCGAGATCGCACCGCCTGCCGAGATCGCACCGTCTGCCGGGCTCGCGCCGTCTGCCGAGCTCGCGCCGTCTTCCAGGCTTGCACCGCGGCCGGGGTCGCGCCGTCTGCCGAGATCGCGCCGTCTCCCGTGCTCGCACCTTCTGCCGGGATCGCACCGTCTGCCGGGCTCGCGCCGTCTGCCGAGCTCGCGCCGTCTTCCAGGCTCGCACCGTGGCCAGGTGCCGATCGCCGGCCGGGCCGGGCCTGGCCGGGGGCCGCCCGGCTCCCACGGCCGACGTTGACGGCCTTCGCCGCGTACTATTACGTGAGTCAGGCGCCGGAAGGTGCGATACGCTCGAACGGCGCGAGTCGCACCTCATCTCACAACGCGCGGCTGCGGTTAGCGCGGCGCGCTCGCGGCCGTGGCGGACCCGTGGAGCACGCGACCGTGCGCGGAACGGTCAGGAACTGTGGCCGGACGGTGCGCGGGGCGTCGCTATGGTGAGAGATGCTCGTGGGTTCTGGGGCATCCTCCATATTCTGAATCAAGATCGGAAAGTTGTGTGGTGGTTTGTCTAATGTTCCAAACTTGCTATTCAGCCCGCCGCGTACCACCAGTTCGTGTTGTGCGCGAATCCTATGTCTGGTTTTAGGGCCATTGGTACAACCGTGCGCCAATGGAAATCGACTCCTCCTTCTTTCTGGTCGGCCACTGCGGCGGAAACTTACTTGTTTGCAGAGGATTTGTGCTCAACAATTTAACCTAAATGTTTTTGCAACTTCGCTGTCGTCGAAATGCTTCTGTGAAACCAGACAACGCCACGCGTCGTGTGGCCATGAAAGTCGCATGATACATTTTCTTTCCATGCACTATGCATGCAGGAACAGCTGACCAAATTTGGAATGATGTACTGCTTGTCAAGCTGGTGTTGTTGCAGCTGTTGGACACGGCACAGAAGCAGCTCGTACCAGTTTATGTAACACGCAGAACATATGTATGCTTGATAGAGCTTTGTGTATCCGAAATCGGCGTATTAGTTACAGTTACGTCCTCTCTGGACGCGCGCATGGCACGTATCTCGATCCGCCTCTGCGGACCGCGTGCGAGCCGAGCCGCAACAACACTGAACGGGATGGAACTACCCACCGATGCTGGATCAGACACGCGCCCGGCAGGCCTCTTATGCTGGGTGGGATTTCCGCTAAACTTACAGCAGATATGGTGTCCCATTAGATGCGCGCTAAGCCTTGAGCTCAATGACGATATTCTGCAAGCTGCTCAACGATCCCGCCATCTTGATGCCTGTGATATCTCCCGACTGAGTCCGCACGGCTTGGCCAGCGTGCGCTCAAGGGACTGGTTCGAGGTCCGGCAGCGTCTAATTGTCGCAGTTGCCTGACCCGAGTCAGCTCTATGGCTGCGAAGGAATGGAGCCGCTTCACGCTGTTGACCGTCACCGCCGCTGAGGTGACGCCGGTTCGCGCGGCCGGTGACGGATCGTGTTCTGTTTCAGAGCAAGGAGTCAGCTGCGGCAAGATTCTTCAGCGGTTCCCGACCACGGACTGGGAAGACACGCCATTTATCGATGGCATCGAGCTGGTAAGTGCCGGATGTTGTCTACCCCCCCCCCCCCCCCCCTCCCTCTCTCTCCCTCGGGCGACTACGAGCCGGCGGTTGGATGCGTGGATGCCGCCACAGGTTTCTTGGCTTTGGGGAATAATGAACACGCTCCGCGGGTATTCAAAACGCTTAGATCGTCAAGTTGTGGACGGTGGGTTTCGCTGAATATGCCGTATGCTACAATTTAACACAGCCCTTCCTCCGCGCACTCTGCAGATTTCTAAAGTGCTTTCAAGCGTCTTCCGCTGGTCGTTTTTGTGATCGTGGATCTTCTGGTATTTGGGCCGCGTGTAGTGCGGCGGAACACATCCGCAGCTTGTCAGTCGTCGCTCGTCCGGTCGGCGAATGCGGAGAGCAGGGGCGTGCCATCGGGATCATCGAGTCGGAGAGCGCTCGCCTGCGGGTCGTGCTCGGCATTGTGTTGGCTTCCGGTCAGCTGCGGTCTCGGGCTGGCAAGAACCGGCGTTGCTTGGAAACAAAGTTGCGTGGCATCAGCTGCAAGGACTGATGCGCACGACTACGAAGCAATGCAGCCGCCCTGTAAATGGTATTATCGCTGTTTTCATTGACGGCTGGGGTAGTTACAACCTGATACAGTAGACGCAACAACAAGTAAGGTTTGACGAGATCACTAGGACAAGTCACCTTATACGGCAGGGTGTGTTCACAGATTGGAAAGCATGAGTGATGGCAACGATAAGATCAGCTACCAGCTAAGAATGCCAGTATTGTTAGGCGTACAATACACAACGCTCACTGATAGGGACATTAAGTGAGTGTGTGGATTCTGTTTGCATAGCACGAGTATTTCATTGGCACCAATTGTGTTGCACATGGCCGGTGTTTAATAAGTATGTATCTCAAGCTTTCGCGAATATTTAACTTGTACCGCGTATTCATGCTCAAAAACGAATAATGGGCGTGGAGATAATCGTCTCGATTATGCGGTGATATGACACCCGCCAGGACTGTTTTGGTATATATATATATATATATATATATATATATATAGATATAGATATAGATATAGATATAGAGAGAGAGAGAGATATATATATATATATATATATATATATATATATATATATATATATATATATATATAGATGACACTCGGATCATAGTTTATGTATGCTTATGAATGCACTTCAGGTGCGTCTTCCCGACCTATTCTTACCCATGGACTACTTTAGTCTGTGAAACTTTTGAAGTGTCAGACGCTTACATGGGCGGCTATCACTTCTTAGGGACGTGCTTTGTCTATATCCTGTACTCATTAAAAGGTTTCAAGGTTCGACGCTGGCCGATATTCTTAATCCCCCACAATGTGTCTGCCAATGCCTAATGTAAAAGTCTGACAAACCACCGGTTTTGTCACAAAACTGCACTCATACCTGTACCGGTCCGGTCCGGCCAGGCCCGAGGACAAAGTTGCACGTGCCAGCCTTGTTTTTGACCATCGGTCTCTGACCCTGGACCGTCTGGTGTTGGTGAGTCACAGCTGGGCGTCGCTCGTGCGGGGAGCTGGCCGTCTGGGTTGACAGGCCGAGTTGATTTCACTCGGCGCATGAATCACTGCATGGTGTTTTCCCTGATGGCTTTGCACTGTTACGTGACAGTGATGGCACCGATTACGATATAAGGGCCAAACGTAATAGAATGATATACGTTTGGCATTTCAGGACGGCTGAAACTACTTTCGGCCCCTCTGTGGTTCTGACCCGGTTTTGTCCTGTTGCCAACGGGCGACAACCGACAAGAACTTGAAAGCCACAATATTCCTCATTTGACAAATAATTTCGCATCTTTCAGTTTGGGCTTTCCTATCGCAAGTTTGGCGCATTCAGATTTGCTCCTGAAGTACGTCTCTAGCCGTGCGTAGAAGTAGAAGGCTAGCGTGAAAAGTGTTGCAGAATATTGTGTGGTTCTTCTAAGTGTTGCACTCATGTGCATGTACGACAGATCGGGCCTATTTTTCATTGTTTCTCCTCGACATGATGTTTCTTTATTTTGCTCAGATGCATTTGTGAGGGGGGGGGGGGATTCAGATGAGAGCAATGGGTGAGGAGGGGAGCTCAAGTCTGCTCTGGGGATAGGGGCCTTAATTAGCATGGGGGGGGGGGGGGGGGGGAAGCAGCCCTCCAAAATATTAAGGTGACGGGTCCCTGGTAGGCAGGTCGTGGACCAACTGTGAAATGACTGACTCTTCACTTTTCAACAATTTTCGCACGTAGTTGATGTAAACGGTGGTCAATCCCATGTGTCTTTCAGTAGTAGTTGAACTGGTTCTCATGTCAGCTATACTTGCATGGGGGCCATGTCAACATTGTAGTGCCCATCAACATGAAATTTGCATCACCATTGAGCTGCTACATCGGACACATTAGATTACTTTTTTACGTTTGCCATCCTTGGTTCTGCAGTTTCTGCCAGTGCTTGCCACCCGCTGTTTCTTCCAGCCGGTTTAAATCGATAAAATCGGGCTGGGAGAAATGCTTCAGCCGCTTACTGCCAACACTGGACTCAACGCATACCACACATCAGGCATGTTATAAACGATATGGCGGAGAACAATGCAGCATTACTTCTGAATTGGCCAAAGCTTTCTTCTGATGTCACCGCGAGTCATTCCACTTGTTTTGGTCATGAATTCGAATTTCTCGTGCTGACGTAAGTGGGCCTTCTGTAGGCCAAAAAGTACTAGCCAAACGATGGACGATATAGCCAATGTTTGTGTTGCCATGCAAACATTGGTTATTGTGTCAAAACTTCGCTCATATTAGCGTGAGTTGTGGGTGATCCGTGATTGTGGGGAACAACTGACGGAATAGAAAAGGACACGTATATTGTGACAATAGAACCATTGTTTTTCTGACATCGTTCAACCAGTACCTCGGTATATTTGCTGGCAGTATGAGAGTTCCAACCTCATTGTGCCGAAAAACCAAGTGTTTAAGGCCTTTCTTGCTAATGTTGCTTGTTCTCGGACACTTCAGCTTGTTGAATCTTCCTTTCCAATACCAGGACGGAAGATTTGTGAACCTCCTGTTCGGATCCCCTTAAATATCGCAAGCGAAGAGCCGCTATGCCGATGGTGGGTGGCACGCCCGTGGCCCGTGGCAGTAACATTGTCCTCCTCCACGTAACCCGGGCCCAAATCTCACCATGGTCGACACTGCTCGGCCGGCCACCATACGTGAGCCGCTTCTCCGGCTGGGGCGTCGAAGGTCACCTCATGACGAGGCAGCTGCTAACGCGCCCGCCGCCGCTCGCGGGTGAGCCGTGACTGTGGGGAGCGAATGACCGAGATGGCCCGCCGCGGGGCTTGGGTACGCTGCGACTGCGAATCACTGGGATGCGGCTCTACCAAATGGGCGTGGCGTGCCAGTCGTATCTCACCACAGTGGCGTGGCCAGAATTTCGTCCAGGAGGGATCAAATCGAGCACAGGGAGCCCTTTGAGCCAAGGTGGCTCACTTTCTCGCTATAGGGGTCGTGTTTCTATTCGGGACATTTTTAGACCGGGGGGGGGGGGAGGGGGGCATTTGATGCCTTAAGCATCTGTTTTTATGCTTTAAATTCCTTCAAATGTCTTTAATTTTAAAAAATATATATACTGAGTCTTTCGGCTCCAGGGGCCCCGTCACCGTCAGAAGCGCGAGGGGACATTGCCCCAAAAGCTCCTTGGCTACGCCACTGTCTTACCAGCGCCGTCGTCAAATGAAATAACCAGCGGTGTGTCGATATTTCAAGCGCGGGCTTATAGCTATTGCGAGCTCTGGTGGACAATGAGCGACCCATGATGAATCGCTTCAAAGTTTTAGAGTGCTGACATAAATGTCTGGCGAGGTGGCCTGGTCTTCCTCTTACAGTTCACGTCACGATTCAGCGTTAAACTCATCACGCGCCGTGCTTGCATGCACGGCGTCGTCGTGTGTTGTACGGGGCGGCGCGTTGCAGCGGCTCGCCTCGATGGTGTTTCGAGCTTCTGCGCATGCCTCCGGCCCAGGCCGATCAGAGAGACCCTGACCCAGGCTAACCAGAGGCTAATATCTCACCAGCGGGCTTGTTCACTGTTCGGCGACAGCGACCTGAAGCGGTGTCCGGCTGGTTTGCATCTCATTGCTTCGCTTAATCCGCATCGTAGCGTCATTGCCTACTGAGTGTGAAGTATCGCATGGGAAGAACTGTGTACGTCTGTTATGTGTGCTTGCCCGATTTGGTTGATGACTGAACCCTGTGGTGACCGGGTGCGTCTCGCGTGAGATGACAGCCCGCCGCGTGCTATGTGTGTATACCCCATCTGTGACCGGCCGGTGCCTCACACGGGTGACAGCCGCGCGCCGCCGGCCTCGACCTGACCGCTCGCGCCGCGCGTGTGCCGGCAGTTCTGCCAGCCGCAGGGCTGGGCGCTTTCCACGGAGCGTCTGGAGCCGCGCTTCTTCGTCTCGGTGCTCACAGACGTGGACGCCAACCGGCACTACTGCGCCTGCCTCACCTTCAACGAGACCGTCACCATCCAGCCCAGCAAGCCGGTGGACGAGGTGCGTGGGCGGGACGTCACGCCGGCGGGATGACGCGGGGCGCGCGCCGCGCCGTGCGTCACCGCAGCGCGGCGCCGCGCCCGGGCCACGTCTGTGTGTGTGAGGCGGCCGGGCGCCGTCTCCGTGGTGCGGCGGGGCGGGCCGGCGCGGAGGCTGCGCTTACTGCTGGCCTTCTGCTCCGGCCGAGGAGAACACTGCAGCCCGCGGATGGCCGTGGCCAGTGGCCTCGTGATGGCGTGGGGGGGTGGGGTGGGGGTGGGGGGTGGGGGGGGGGTGGGGGGGTGGGCGGCGCTAGACCGCCGCCGCCTTGCAGCGCACAATTGCCGAGGTCGGGAGGCTCGACTCGGGCCGTTCTCGTGGGGGCTCTCGGGGGAGCGAGCACGCGTGATCGACGCCCACGAGAGTGGGGTGGGGCGGGCGGTTGGCGTGGGTGGTCCAGCCTCGGGCGTTCTGGGCCGGTGAGCAGGCTGCCCGGCCGGCGCCGCGTGGGCCGACCCGACCGCAGACGGGTGCGGCCCGCCCGAGCCGAGGAGGGCGCCGTGATGACGTGGGCCGCTGGCTGACGGCAAAGACCATCAGTCGCCCGCTGGAGTCATCAGGCTCCCCCTCCCCTCCCCCTCCATCCTGCCACGTCCCCTCTGGATCGTCAGTCGGCGCGGATGACCTGCGGAAGCGGGGCGGACCACCGGGCACCGGAGCCTGTATTCTGTCTCGGGGCGTCTGGTGCCGTCTGGTGCCTGACGCACAGGGGCGCGCTGGTTATGGTGGAGGGCAGCGGTCGCCGGGGGCGGGTTTTCCGAACTGTTGCGGTGCTGCGACGGCATTTGCCATGGACTCGGACTTTCTTCAACGCCTTTGGCCGAGCGCCAAATGCCTGCTGCACCCTGCTACGCCCCGATACTTTGCGAAGCAAACTCTGCTGCGTGACGTGAACGTGGCAATGGACGGTCACCATTCAGCAGTATTGGGCTCCATCACGGCAAGCATTTCTGGCAAATCACTCCCAGGCTGGGTACAATGATATCTGGAGCCAACTGTTGCCCGCTCGTTTTGCGTGGGACGGAACACTCTTGTTACGCTCAGCGGCTGCCCTTTCTGCGATAAACTGATCTGTTGGTTGAACCAGACGGACCGGTTTACAGTGAAAGTAACTATGTGATCAGTACATGGCGCCGGTGGTGATCGTAAGGGGGCTTTCGCTCACACAGTGCGGCTATTTAGCGCTGGTTAGACTTCTAGTCTACGGAGATCTGACGAGCCGCGTGCTCTTTTGCACTTAACAAGCAATCCCTCCCCATCCCTTGCTCCACATCGCGGTCTGCGGTCGTGTCATAGTCTTCCTCTGTTCTCGCCTTTCCACCCTTTGACTTCCTGCTAATTTTTTTTCGTTGTCATTCCCCTCTTACCGGTACCTCGACGACTATTTTTCGCGGTGGCGGGCACACAAACAGTTTGTTTTAAGACGATGCAGATACAGGAATGTGGGTATACCGATGCGTAAATACAAAACACCAGTACAGATCAACGCGTCACTGCATCCGAACAGGATCTCAACCAGCGTGCAGTCGTATCTCCTCTCGCCCGGCCCTGGCCGCGACCCGACGCCTGAACCACGCGCCGGCGTGTGCGAACCCGGCCGGTCTCTCTCTGGCCCGGGTC